ACAAGAACAAAAGCAGTTTTACTGCGCGTTTGACATTCTAACACTACTGAACAATAAAGAGGTGTGAATATTTTTAGGCACGTTGTCGAAACAAATGAATAGGATTAGGAACCAGCTGGTTGAAACAAAGTCAGTCAGTAATAGGTACTTTTCATGTTTTCAATTTTTGTTGAAAACTCTTTAACACTGAAGCCGAAATCGGGGTGCGGTTACTATTACGTATGCGGTTTATAATAGGATTTTAACGGAATGTTTTGTTTTTATTACCAAACAAATCATTTACCGGACGCCAAGAAACAGGTCACATAGAAACCATGCTACATTGTCCTAAAAATGTACAAATGTACAAGCTTTCAGGAAAGAGTAATCTTGCATAAATTTGAATATAGTGCGGAGCTCCCTTGAGCTTCACACAGAGGATAAAGTAGCTCCTCAGATCTCTTTTAATTTTAATAGTAATATCCCTGCAACTACTAAAAAATATTTTTCTACAGAGAGAGCAAGCAAGTGAATATTTAATTATTATTTATTAATATTTATTACTGAATATATTACGAAGCAAGTGAATATTGTCAAACTATTGATTTTCACTGACATTTAATTTTATTACTTTGATATTTTGAGCAATTTCACTGGGTTTTAAATTCACAAACTTGGCAGGGAAACCAATGAGTTCTATTTTTAAGTTCTACAAGTTCATATTGATTTAAATTAGTGAAATTCACTTATAAACAGGATAGCGAAATTAAAAACAAACACATAATTTACAGGAATATGTTCACTTACTAAAGGTAACCAGTAAGTATACAGATATCCTATCCTCACTGCTGGTATGAACTGTGATAGAGCAACAACTAAGAAATAAAGATTGAGGAAGAACTTGAACTGATTGTATAGCACCTATAATCAAACAGAAAAAAAAAAATAAGTAAATGATGGAAACACTATTAAGAGAACACTCACATACAACAATCGTTTTCTCCACATGCTATATTTTGAACACATGTTAAATTATGTTATATTGTAAAATAATAATAATATTTATTGCATCTTTAGAAATACAGACAGTATTTCTATCAGTACAGTAGCAATAAAAGTATAATAAATAAGTATAAATAGTGTAAATAAATACATTCCTTTTTTTCATTGTTGAGACTGAGTTATACAGTTTATTACGTACTACAATTTATCTATATTGGAAAACGGTTATGGGGATTATTAATTTCAATAAACAATATTCAACTATCCTTTGCAACATCAATAAGATCATAATGGTAATGTTTATTGGTCTTTGAAACTAGATGCATTATCAGAGCATGGGTCTTATTTTGGAACTCCTGCTCAGATGGTATTTCCAGAATAGTGCCAGTTGTTGAAGAAACATAAAACGTTAATTCCCAACAAGGATGAATGGACCAGTTACTGAGACAAAGCCCTACTCCCCGCGAAACCCTACAGATACGAAACCCAATTACCGCGAAAGCCACTCACCGCAAAGCTACTACACATTGCCCTTAGCAGACACATCTGAAGACATAAACTCAAGACAGTAAATACTGTGAAACGTTCATAATATCCACTGCTAAGAATTTTTGGTATTTGATAATGACATTCAAGGGAACAATATTTTGGGAAAGTCGCATCATTGTCTTTAGGACCCAGTAAAATTTTCATAACGCTATAACACTTTGTAGTTTTCACTGACTAGCAAAAATTTGTCGCAAAATTGGTTCGGAGTAACAAAACAAACTCCAAACTCTTATCATACCTAATTTAATAGATGACAAAATAATTATTAATTATTAAGTGACTTGTCATACCATTCATTTTCAACTATGTAAGTAGTTGCATTTAGGTATTGTAGGGTCTTGGACTATACCTTATAAATACGTGTACATAGTTATATTACATGTAAATTGTCAAGGATATTATACTATTATTTTAATTGTCCGAATACACTATTCTGATTGGTCAGAAGTGTGTTTTTGATTATGCAAGCCATAGTTCCACTGACAATACAACATGTATTTTTTTTTATAGTTTAGAAGTACATGTTGGAGTTAATTTTGCTGTCAACTGAAAGCGACAAAAATATTATTTTGTCACAGACTGCTTGATGGATCTAAAACTGCTGTATGCTAGTCCCAGAACCCATTTCAATAATCATTTCAGATGTTATATTGTATCTGTGCATGTTTTTCAGCGCTTTAACATATCACTTGTTGACGCCATTATATACCATTCATATTCGGCTATTATAACAGCAAAAATCCATCAAAGCAGTTGGGTATACAAGTACAAAGTAATATTGCACAATCAACTCTGTATATGCACTCACGCCTCTGCAGCTTGCGTATACATGTTGTGAATTGCACAATATTTCACAGTATACCCAACAGTGGCAGTATTTTATCCCTTAAATAGACTATATTGTAGACTTACCAGGGGTATAAATGAAAATACACTATACTGTAGACTTACCAGGGGTATAAATGAAAATACACTATACTGTAGACATACCAGGGGTATAAATGAAAATACACTATACTGTAGACTTACCAGGGGTATAAATGAAAATACACTATATTGTAGACTTACCAGGGGTATAAATGAAAATACACTATATTGTAGACTTACCAGGGGTATAAATGAAAATACACTATATTTCTGATTTCTTATGATATTTGCTGGATATTTTTCTTGATAGACTGCCCGCCTTCCTATTGGAACTGTCCTGGGTTTTGGTTCCTTTTTCTTGATACATTTTTGTTCAAGTGATCCCAGATATCTGCCAATACAAATAACAAGAGATCATTGTCCTACAAGTACAAGCATGTAGTTACAATGAAGAATTTCAGACTGCTTACACTGGACCACCAACAGCACTTGAGACAGCCAGATTACAGATGAGAAAATACAAAGTGTGATCACAAAAACACACTTCTATTGTATACAGTAGTGTTTTCCCCAAAACTGAGTGGCCACTATGACAAAATAATCATGTAAACAACTTTTCGTCATAAAGAAATGTATTTTAAATTTATTTTTCAAAGTAAATGTAGTCAGCAGCACATAAGATAATGTTGAATTTAGATTTGGTTCTCTTATTTGTAATGTTACTATTTATTTTGGTCAAATAGCTGTCTAATAACAAGGTCAAATGTATACAATACAAACATAAATATGGCTGTCAAGGTTGGTCGTCAGATTTAATGAAAAAAAAAAACTGTTCAAAGGAGAAATGAGAAAAACAACAATTTTCACTAAGACTGCTTAAAAAATGCTAAAACAAAAAATCTTAATTTTGTCACCATATGTGAATATATGATATGAAAAATGTCTGATGTATACATCCCTAGTTTACTATAGCAAGAATCATGGCAGCATTCGAGTGAGCAGCGGATGAATGTAAATAACGGGCACTCTGACAGCGCTGTGGGTTGAAAGCAAATATACACATTGATAAATGTACATCTGGATATGTTGCAATAATGATAACTCCGCAACGAATATAAAATGAACATATATAATGCAGTAATTATTTTTCATTAATAATTGGCAAAATTTAATTTTGTATAATGAGGAAATAAATTTATGTATGCATACTTTGACATGTGATCACTCACATGCTCAAAATCTATTAAGAAGTGACAATAATTTATATTTGATATTCTCAGCTCCAGGTGTATCGTTTTTTTTTTTACCTATTACATCTAGGTAAGCGCACAATCTACGAGAGCAAATACGAAATGTGAACCGCAGACAAATCTATTGGTGATATTGTACATATTTATTTATCATGCGATTTTTTTGTTTTTTGTTTACATATTACCCTTTTTCCCTACCTGTAAAGATTGTCTTTCCAGCCGCAACATAGAAGCCATGATATTGTGCTACCGTATGTTCTACGTTGTTTTCTAGATTTTGTCAAACTATCATTCTCACTGTCAATACCGTCCTCTGCCATCATTAGTGGTACTTCATCTAATGATGAAGAATCATCTTCTGAATTTAATCTGAAATGAATACAGTAGTCATATTAGTAAAGGAACACTATCCATGAATTTAGGGTTTTCCTATGATGCAGTAACATAGTGAAACTATGGTGAGCTTGCACTCAAAGAATCATCTTCTGAATTTAATCTGAAATGAATACAGTAGTCATATTAGTAAAGGAACACTATCCATGAATTTAGGGTTTTCCTATGATGCAGTAACATAGTGAAACTATGGTGAGCTTGCACTCAAAGAATCATCTTCTGAATTTAATCTGAAATGAATACAGTAGTCATATTAGTAAAGGAACACTATCCATGAATTTAGGGTTTTCCTATGATGCAGTAACATAGTGAAACTATGGTGAGCTTGCACTCAAAGAATCATCTTCTGAATTTAATCTGAAATGAATACAGTAGTCATATTAGTAAAGGAACACTATCCATGAATCTAGGATTTTCCTATGATGCAGTAACATAGTGAAATTATGGTGAGCTTGCACTTAAAATAATTTTCTGTAGATGACTTTAATATACAGTCAAACCTGTCCATAGTGGCCACCCAATCACAATTCCCTTAATATTTTGTTTATTTTTTTCAAAAATCGTCCTCACCTAACTCACTTGCAAAATGACTGATCCCTCAAAACATTACTTTGCGCAATCTGGGCGACTTCCATGTTATTGTACTGCTGCAACAATAGAAACATGTGAAATATGCCTGGCGACTTTGGCTGGCGAACTGAGGTTAATTTAACATCATTGTTAAAAGCATCTATTGTTACATGTACCAAGGCAGTAGCGACCGAAAAAAAAATTGTTGAACGAATTTAGTTTGACAATGAGCAGATACTGCACACACATTCCCTCACAGTGATCGATACACAGTAACGGAAACGACTCTACTTTTTGACCCGAGTTATCATAACCCCGGAAGAACAAGAACGCACATGCGCAAGGCTAATTAGCATAATTTATTTGGATGGAAAAAACAACAGGCATGGCCGTTGTGTTGATTTTTTCCCTTTTTGCTATCAGTTCCAGTTACATGCATATTTGTCGATATTTATAGGAGTTCAAAGTGAATAAATATCGATACTAAATAACAAGTGAGTTGTTATGTTTTTTTGTTGCTAATCAATTCAATAGGGGATTTACTGTCGGCATTCCGATTCACCCCGGCCACATAGGGACTGTGCCCCAGCGATTCACAAAACATTTGCGGGTCGTCATCGTTGTGGTTGCTCAATTCATTGAACAAAACCCCTGGTACAAAGCACTTTTGTCCAAGTAATTCCCGTGGTATACATATTTCGACAAAACATTAATGACAGCATGTTTTTAATTATGTTTTTGGCATTCCCAGACCACCGGTACTGTGTACTGGCCGTGGTAAACTGAATAAAACATAATTACCGAAGCCATAGCTTGAATGAAAGGTGTGAAAATGTGCTAACTTTATCCTTTGTGATCTTTGGAGCTTATTAGTTGTCTGAGGTTGAAGGCAGTACTCTGCAAGACATCCAGGAACTATGTCCGTTATATGCAGTTCAACTGATCACTGCGGCCGCTTAAGCCGGGCCGTTGGCCGCGTTAGACAGGTGGTCGCTATATACGGGTACTTTACATGTAAATTTTGTAGGGACTGTTTAGTTGTGACCGCTATAGGCAGGTGGCCGCTGTATGCAGGTGGCCGTCAACACAGGTTTGACTGTAGATGCAAATTATTTTTACCGAAAACAGAAAATGTGGTTGTGATAATTATGTTTCACTGATTTGGTCAGTCTACCATTTTGAATTAAATAACACAAAAATATGATATGATATGACAAGATATTCCAGTCATCAATTTTTAATAATATTACAAAATAAAATGGGTTGACACAAGTAGCAATCTAGCGAGGAAAAAGATTTTTTCTGTATCTAAATCTTTAGCTGATATGACATATACACCATATCTTTCAATAAAAATAAATTGATAAAAAAAATTGTTCAATGTATTTTTTCGCATTGGCAAATTTTCCTTTCATACAATCAATTATTTTTGTTATCCAATTAAACAGCACGGTGAGACTGGCACCTTTCACGCACTTGTCCAGGCGTCAAATTTGATTTTTTTCCAGTGCCAGGGTCCAGCGACAGTTTAGTCAAAGATGAGAAAACTGCACAAGAAATTTGTCTTATATACACATATTGGCAATGCAAGCTGCCAAGCAAGTTCCCCTTCTGACGTCACAGGGGGAATTTCTGTATGCAAATAAGAAGCTAATAAGGAGCCTCTTTTTAAAAAACTCAAAAATAAAGTTGTCGTAGACTGAGTTTAAAATGCATTTTTTCACTTAAAAAAATAATTTATGCTTAGAAACATAAAAATTAATAATATTTATGTATCAATGGATAATTTTAGGCGTGAAAATAGCAGCTATTTTACAGGCACTTTAAGGTTAGAATATGCTTGCCTAGTAAATATAAACATTATTAGGCTTTTGAAGAAGAATTTAAAAAAAGGACACAGACACAGGACAATCAATCAATCCATTCATTTCTGATGTACATATACATACATTTACAAGAGTAAATTAATGTCACATCAACATATCCCAGTGGACAGCTCTATCTGTAACTGTATGACTATCGATACATGCATGCATGCACCACAATGTCACAATATACCTTGAAGTCTATGAATATACGGTACTATCCATTTAGAAGACAATAATATTGTAGTCACATCCATTTTTTATTAAACTATTTTTACACCAATGTGAACTACAGTGGTGTAGGAGATGTCAGGGTGAACACGGTATACGATAGTATTATAAGAATAGTAAAATATACAACAACCTTATCAATAGCAGACACATAGCAGGATATTATTCTCTTAGGATATTACTGTAAAATACTTTATTTTCGCTTGGAATAAATTTTCGCTGAAGGAATGATTCAGTGAAAATAAAATCCAGTGAATATACCTTTTTTTCTATATTTTACATTCAACTTGTCGAAAATCAGTGAAAATAAATTCCATACAAAACACCCAAAAAGTCTTTTCATTGAAAATGATTTCAAGCTAAAATAAATTATTTTACAGTATTCAGGACAAATTGTCTCACAGTACACTATGTCTGTATGTCAAGCTGAAAGGTTATTATATAAACGTCCCATCAATATGCATTAACAAGGGTACCCCAGAGTGTTGCCATATAATTATGGATTGTGTTGTGTCTGGAACATGAATAATAAATACAGGGTTACATGTATAGTGTGCGCTCAGAAATGAGACATACTTGTTTATTTATTTATTTATTAATGTATATATATATTTATTATGTTCAGTAATTTTACCATAATACCCGGTACTACAAAAGCTTCAGAGGAACTAAGAAAGTGTAAAAAAAAAAAAAAAAAATGGCACGTACCAGGCATGTGTGTGTGTGTGTTTCATATTACATGTACACTGTACTAAATGTCTGAAACACAGTTGTTGACACAAATAACTACAGCTGTTTTTTGGCAAAAAAAGTGACTGCCAGCCACAACAAATTTCCAATGCATCAATACAATATAATATTAGGAAATATTTGTGAATACAAATAACTTATACTGTATTTGCTTTATTAGTAGCGCATACACTTAAGTAAATTACAGAGGTGTTTCTATGGTAAATATGAGTAATATTTTAATGAAATTTTTGAATTATATGTGCTTCATTTGGAGATGTTCTTCTAATAGAACAAATACAGTAATAATATTAAAATAACTACGCACCAGATTTTAATGACAAGCTTAGTGGAAGGATTAAAAAAAAAAAGATTTACCATAACATGTTAAAATGTCTATTTGCTATTTTTTGCGCAAGTATGTCACATATGGAGGAGATTTGGTTCCAGATTTCTGGAGTGTATATACACCACACCCAGTCTGAAGTTCAAATTTGCAAAAGGTGACAAAAATTGGCTTTAATTTATAATAAACTCATCAATTTTGTATTTTACAATGACATGAGTGATTTGGTTTTACATTATGAAATAATGACTCAATTTGCATATTAAAAATACCGTAATGTATTCCATTTTCACTTGGACATATTTTCGCTGAAGTTTACTTTCAACTCATCAAAAATCAGTGAAAATAAACTCCATACAAAACAAACAAAAAGTTTTTTTAGCTAAAATAAAGTATTTTACTGTAGATTAATTAACCTCTCACCACCAGACTCATCTAAATTTTTCTAAAAATTTTTTTTGTATTCTTTATTATTTTTTTTTTAAATATGAGAATCAATTTTCAGTTATTACTTGAAAAAATTTTGCTTTTTTTGTTCCAATCTTCTGAAGGAAAGTACAGACTACTAATAGGACTATTTTGTGAATTTGTGATGAAAAGAGGGAACTGGTGGTGAAAAGGTTAATTGCTTATTTAAAATGGCCTTATATTAAGGTTTAAAAAATCACTCAGGTTAATAATCTTTCACAGATTCTCATTTGAAAATGTATACAGACAACACAATTTCATATTATGTTAGTTGGTCATCTTGAAAAACCACCTGTGAACACTTTATTACTGATGGCCCATTATCCTGCAAGAATTTGAATTAATGCACACTGTGGAATAGTTTTTATGTCACCCTTGTTTAAGCGTGAGATTCTATGCATCATCAGTTAGTGCAGAATCAATATTTCAGTCTTTTGCCAATTTTTATGTATTTACTATAATTTCTTTGTTCATTTTGGATCAAATTGATAATTCCTAATAGGCTACAGGCCAGGATCAGAAATTTTGAAAAAAAATTGAAACCAAACACTTTTATTTTGTGAAAGGTGACGACAGTTGAGTTGGCATTCAAGGATTTAAAATCATGACAAAACATGTATTACTCCTACACTATACATACATGCTTTTTAAACATGTACATGTATACCCGGTACATTATTGTTACATCTACATTGTATGTTTGTCACCCTACTTGTCTTCATGGAATCCCTTCAGTAAATAGTACTGTAAACACATTATTTTTTTTG